TTGGATCATGTTTATTCTTTGAATAGTGTTTAGAGTTTCCAGAGTACAAACTTTGCCTGCTGTTTGTAGAGTACTCCCATCTTCCTTCCGTGTAGTCTTTCTGGAGTTCCTCGGGTTTCCCTGGAAAGGGCCGGCTGGAGCCGGTGGAGCTCTGCGTGCTGTTGTACTGGGCCTCGATCCAGACGATGCAGGCCTGCATCTCACACTTATTTCACCAAAGATCTTCAGTTTAGGATTAGTGTTAGCATTTCTTGTTTTGAACTGAGGCTTTAATTGCCTAAGATAGTTCTTCACTTCAGACTTTTGGAAGCTGGCAGTGTTAAGAGTAAATTTTGAACTCCTTTGGATAAATGCTACCAAACCCAATTTAACACCAAAAGTTCATTGCTGTGCTGTTTAGTGCTTTGAATTACATTTTTTATTCTGTATCAACAGGTTAACAAACTTGAAACGATTGTGTGATTAATCTTTGCAAATGTTTTATTTCCGTATTAGCATACCCTAATCCTTGTATCTCTAATCTTATCTTTAGCAATTATAAACTGAGAGACAAGTCACCGAACATGTAATAAAAGTCTAGCAAATGACTTTAAAGTATAGTAAGTGAAAAAGGATATACTTATGTTTCCATGACATGCACCAAATTCACCAAACTTTGCTCTGTAAAGAGACCTGTAAAAGGTAGAAGTGTCGTCTGTTTCTTTAGGGTTAGGAGAGTTAGGAGTGATCTTACATGTTTCAAAATTATAGACAGCTCCCTTTTCACTTCTCAGGCAACAGCAGGTTGATACGGTGTTTTCTGTAACCATAATTAGATGTTAAATTTCCATTAAACATTTGAAGGTAGTAATGATGCTTGCTGCTTTCTAAATGATGGTCACATCTTGGCAACTTAATGTGATGATATCTAAAAGTTATTTACCTGGAATATGCACAGGAAATAAAAGTTACTAATGTTCCTGTGGTGGAATTTGTCATTAGATGAATGGGGTAAGGAACTAAAATGATCTCCTTGGCTGTTCCGTGAGTCTCGGTTCCGTTCCTTAGCGGAAGCAGGAGGACCCCATTCACACAGGTAGATTGAGAGGTGTGGCCGGGAAAAGGGGAGACAGTGATAGAGGAAAGGGGTCTGATGAGCTAAAGACACAGCAATCCCGCGACGGGTGGTGCTGTGAGCCTGAAGTAGTGACTACGGCCTTAATGAGATTACAGATTTGAAATTCATTGTGATAATAAGACGTAGCGTGTATATTGTGATCGTTTTCAAATGATCCAAAATGTAGCTTATTTGGAGCCAGAGGGTAAATTTTAGGGACACAGTGTAAGATTTATGCCACAAATAATGACAGTTTCAACTTCTAACAGCAAGACTTGAAAGAATTTTACAAAAATGATCAATAAAATTAAAAGTAAGAGATGTTGGGAAAGAGTGAAATAGAGCCCTGAGCTTACGTTCAGATGGGTGTGTCCTAAAGAAATAGGAGCCATATGTTTACATTTTCTAGTGCCCCATTCAGAATTTTAAAAGCAGATCGAGTTAATTTTACTACTATAATTTAACCCAGTATTCGAAATATTTTCATGTGTAGCCAATAGAAATTGTTCATTGGATGTTTTATTGTCAATTTTTTGCACCGAGCATTTGAACCCCAGCACGCATTTAATCCTGCAGCGTCTGGTCATTTAGAGCGTTTCCGGCGGGCCCGGAAGCACAGGTCACGCACTTCGTGAGCGCGCATCTCAACTCTAGGAGGTGGAGAAATAGGAGGACCAAGCTACGAGACGTTTGAGAAGGCTCCCTGCAAACTGTTTACATGTATATTGATTGTTTATAAATGTAAGCTATCGAGCAACTGCAGGTGTTCCAGACATACAGCTGAAATCCCACTCTTTCTGTAAGACTCAGGGAAAAAAGGAAATAAATGAGGCATTGAGGAGAATTCCAGGAGCGCAGAAGAAACTGAGCCCCCTGCCTGTAGGAGAAGCTGGCTATGGGAGCGAGGACACCTGAACACAGTAAACGTAGCAAGGCTATGAAGACGGGAAGACGGGGAGGCTGCTTTCTCTGGGAGAAGTGCCTTTATTTTTCTTCCTCATTATTTTTGTGCTCCTGACTTTGGCTGCCAAGAAATTTGAAGTTCAACTGTACCAATTAATAGGAGTTTATATCTACTAATTTATGTTTTAATTATTTTTATTATTTTTCTACTTAGTGAACCATGTTTCCCATTTATTTGTACAATATCCAGATATTCTACAGATTTTTTTTAAGGGTAAGATTGACATTCAAATAATTCTGAGTATTGAAACACTATTTACACCATAATACATAAATCTCAGAATATTATGATAATGTAAAAATGTGAACATCATTTTGAAAATAAACTTTGTCTTTTTCTAAAGAAGGAAATCGAAGTTATCAAGAAATATAGAGCTGAGTTGTTGGGAAATATTACAAATACTCCTTTTGAAAATTAAATTGTAGACAGTTCATTAGAGCATAAGAAAATATGATCTTATCTCCTTTGGGCTGAGAGACACAGGACGTCTGGAGTATCGTAGAGCTAACTTGGTAGTTTATATGTGATGGTGTCACTAACGTTATACAGTTTCCCCGTTCATGACCTTTTTGGAATAGCATTACATAGTGTTAAATTCTGCAGAAACAGCTATTTTTTAAAGCTGCGGTAGAATTAAAGACTACAAAAGCGATGTATTTTGGTAAAACTTCCTGTAGCACTCACTGGCAGCCTGGGGTGGTGAGAGTCCATAGGAAAGAAGAAACCGTTTCCTTATTTGTCTTGGCAGCATCTTACTCTGTGATCTGGGCATGATCTGTAGATGGTAGAAAGTGTCTCTCCATGTCATAATTTGTGCTGTGCATCAGCTCTGCGGAGAGTGTATATCATGTGCTTTTTAAGAGTAGCTCAGAGACAAAGAATAACAGCACTGTGCCAGGGAATGGACGGACGTATGTCCGAGGCCCCTGATCTCTCCCGGGCCTCACATCTGCCCTCTCCTAGATGGCGCACAGGGAAAGTCCTCGTGTTCTGTGTGCCTGCCATTCCAAGGCTTCTGTGCTCAACCTCAAGTGTAAACCTTTCAGATACAGTTAGATCTACTAGCCAGCTAATGTAAAATATACGAGAGAGGACACCATTTATTACCATTTATTGTAACAAATAACCTGGCCTATTCATGGTATCTAAAATAATATTTTTATTGGGTACCATAAAAGATATTTAATGCTTGCTTGCTTGCTTATGTTTTTCTGACAGTACAAGGCAGGTGCTTTCACTGTGCACCTAAGTCTCTGTGATTTTTCTTTTAATATCAGAGTTTACAACTATTTCCAAATAGATCAAAGATGTTTTCAGTGGTTATCAGCAGTTGTTATCAAACGTTTTATTGTAGATACTAAAAGATGCAGTGAAAAACTAAGGTAATGCGAGTTACTTCCTAGAATTCTTACTGTGTCAAATATTGACTTTTTAAAATAATACAGAAGAAATCAATGGACACTTCTCTGCCTTCCTTTGAAAAGTACTGGGAGAAACATTTCAGCGTGTGTGTGTGTGTGTGTGTGTGTGTGTGTGTGTAGCATAGTGAGAAGTCAGGTTCTAAAAACAATTATAATGGAATGCCTTTTGTTTTACATACATTATTTTGGGTGCACCAGTTTTACTAGTTAGCAACTGTTCTTACTAATGGATTATAAAACATTTTCAGTGTGAACCCTGATTATGTGAAGCATAATCACCTTGATTATATCTTTTTATGTGTAGAATAAATGAACATATGTTCAGATTTACTGTTACATTTTCATTTCACACTAGGAACCTAATTTCAACTCAATAACCCCAAGACACAAGGCATGAAATCTTGCTTAAGTCAGTAATTAATTACATTTCATAGTAAACAAAAGTAGTTCATTAAGGTTTTATGTTTTCCTTCCTGGTAATATTGGTTTTTATATAAATGTTTAACTTTCCCAGATCTATCAGAGAATGAAAAGCCCTTTAACATACCCAAATGATTGATCTGTTTTGTTTCCAAAGATCCAAAGGCCATTCATCCTTTCTAGGTTTGCCTGGATCTGGGGATATCTGTACCTGAAATCCTGACAAAAGATACTGATGTGAATAATTAACATACTAAAAGAAAAGGGACGTTAGATGTGAAGATACAAAGAAAAACTAAAGGGATTGTCATTAAAACTCCAAATGATGTAGTCAGCTTCTGAAGGTTTGATACAAACTCTGTTTCCTCTCTCACTGAACGTCTCCTGAGGTACGATATAACTGTGATCTGTGTTCGGATGCCGCACACCTAGTGAGCACTCCTAGCCATGCCAGGTGGAGTAGAGTATGCAGGCAGGAACAGCTGGGAGAAATTAGCGCTGACAACACACCCCCGCCAGAGTCCAGCACCCCTGGCCTTCGTGTTCCTACACGCTGGAGGCTTTGTGTCAGTGCCGCCTCTCTACGCAGGCTGTGGGCTGGCCATCCAGAAAGGCTTCTCCCACATAAACCAGGTTGACTTCCTTATCCACAGGACCTTTACCTATGCCAGCCCCACCTGGATCCAGAATACTCTGCTGGGCCCAGGGTGACACCAGCGCTCAGATTTCTCAGGTGCAGGAATGGAAATTGTTCAAAGAAAACTATGTCTTGAAGGAAAATAGAGGAAAGAACCTATTCCACAGGGAGCTCTTAAGGAAAGAAAGAGGATGGGAAAAGATAACACGGCCACATGAAGAGACCGAGATAGCCATAGCACTAGCCTCAAGTCATGTGATTCGAATAGACTTTCTTTTAGAGAAGTCCAGTGTTCACCTGTGGAGAAAAATTAATCTGTATAAAATTCACTCTTGCTTTTTCCTTCCTCGATTTCTTGAGCCGGAATCTGCAGAATGTAAGTATTAGAAATAGATGTTCTCAGAAGAAATGTGTAAGAATTCAGTGTAGGCACTTAGTTCTTTGGTTTTGCTCCCTTCACAGTGAGAATTCAAGTCAGTGCTTGTGTTGTGGCCGATGAAGCAGTGAAGTCTATGTTACTACGGGAGACTCAACCCCGAGGACACAGCAGTGTGGCAGGCGAAGAGCTTCCTGCTCCTAGTGAAATATCAGTGCGGAGTTAAAACAGCCTTAGGAAATAAAGCTGCAGGTGAAGCAGAAACACTGCAAAGCTGACAGCTGCTGTTGTACCGCTGTGTTCAAGCCAGCATAAAAGATGAACTATGTTTACTTAGATCTGTATCTACTTAAACTAAAATTTCTTTCGATATATTGTATTTTTTTTTAAGTTTTATTTGGAGACATGAGACTCATGTTGCCTGGCTAAAGACTTTTCTCATCTTTATGTTTTTATTGAATTATTTTAAATGATTTATGATTAAGAAAATAAAATGCGGTTATGGTTTGGAGGATCATATTTGTTATGTAGAAATTACGAGAGCCTGCAGAAGACCAGCGAGACTCGCTGACATCCCTTTGAGGGAATTCGTCAGTCTTGATTACCTGCCTCTAGGGGCGGGCAGTGTGACACACCCAGTAATCCCAGCACTCTGGAGGCTGGGCAAGGAGAGCACTGCAAGGTCAAGGCCAGCTAGAAACGCGGAAGGAGACCCTGTCTCAGCAAGAAGAGGGAATTTATTTCTTCCAGCTCCAGAAGCTCTGGTGTCTCTTCAAGGCCCTGGTGGACGCTCCTCGTGACCCCATCTCACCCCATACCCTCCCGGGCCTCTGGACACTGCCGTGCTGCGGAGCTGGGCTTCTGCCTGCGACCGTGGGCAGACACAGAGTGCGTGAGGCAGTGGAGGCAGTGGAGGCAGACACAGAGGCAGTGGAGGAGCTGTTCATCAAAATCGGGACCTGACCCAGAGGAGCTTTCCCAACCCTGTTCTTCTGCTCTCCTGCACCGTTTTCCACAGCTGCTGTCTCTTCAGATCCCCATGTCTGGTGTCCCTGGCTTTTCAGCAGTCTGTGTCTGACCCTTACTCAACTCCTCTTTCTCCCGCGTCCTGTTCTGGGCCCTGGAATGGCAGTGCTTCTAGCATGTGTGCCATCCTTGTGGCAGTGCCACCGCCGTTCACATGGCCCCATCTTCTCTTTAAAAGACTGTGGCATTAACCATCCCCACTTGGGGGTCTCGTGGTCACCTCAAGCCCATCTTGCCTCAGACTGGATCATCCGACCCCCTTCAAATGTGGTCCTCCTCATTTCTGATCGTTCTTAATGTTGTCTCGTGCAACTACTATGGTCCCTGGAAATAACCTGTCTTCTCTTTACCCGTTACACCCTCGATACGGTTAATCACTGTTTCCTAAGTTCTCTCTCGGCAGTCTCTCCCTTCCTTTCCTCTGTTCTCAACGATACTTCACTAGTTCTTTCTGCTGTGTGCTGTACCATTATGCTGAGTACCCTAAAGTTCCCTGCCTTCAGATAATTCCTTTTCCAGTTCAGCTATTATATGGGTTATGTCTTTCTGAAGTTTCACTCTCCTCTTTGGAAATCGTTGTTACTAGTCCCCTAGCCACCAGATAAATTCCAAACCCCATAGTCTGGCCCTGAACACCTCTGACCTGTTCACGCTTCCCTGTGCACTCTGACCGGCCGCCTGTGCACGGCACATAGGTCCTGCTCTCCACTGCCCCTCCTTGTGTGGTGCCAGCTCTCAGGTCACTGCACACGGCACGCGTGAGCATGTACGTCCTCCTGTTGCCACCCAAACTCTAGCCGAGTTTTCAGCTGAAATCCAGTCACCACAGAAATCTCCCTCATTTCTTTGTCCCAGCCAGAAACTCTTCGTCCTCTTCTGAACTCTCCTAGCACTTGGGGTCTCTCTCTTCCTCTTACTGGCTGTTTGTGTGTTAGCCTTGGGGCCTCCTCTAGAGTGAGAATCACGTGTGTCTTATGCAGAGCCTCAAGGGCCAGCCTCTGCCAGGCTCCCCAGTGGTGACCCCCCTGGGTCCAGTGTGCCTGTGGCCTGTCAGCGAGGCGCTGGGTGTCACCACTACTCCTAGCGCAGAGCCTGAGAGAGAGGTTGATGTCACTCAAGGTTTGCTTTGTTTTGTTAAAAGAAAAGAATGTGAATTGACTTCTTAATAATTACTTGAACCCTAAGCAGCTAGACTGTGACTACATTATCCTGTAGTATGGCTGTTTCCGTGGGAATCCAAGAAAGAAAAAGGCTTAAGCCTCTAGTGAGTTTTCGAAAGGAGGAGTGAAAAGGTCCGGAAAGAGCGCATCAGTCTGTCTGTCTTCCTGAGCTAAGGATGTCACAGACCTGGGCCCTGCTGCAGGAAAGGCCTCTCCCCTCCCGTTACTCTCCTGCTGGGAATGGAGCCTGTTTTTCTGGAGTCCCCACACGTTAAATTGCCAGGAGGTCCTAGCATAAACTATGGAGAGCTCTGGCTAAATGCCTCATAGAAAGCAAGGCACCCATAGATAGAGGTAGAGATATATTCTAACTGTATTCCAGATAGTGGTGCATTTTTGGAATATGTATATCTATTTTATATTTCATATACATCCCATATGTATGCACACACACTTAAATTATATTTTCCACCAAATGTTGAATAATGGCTTCAGAATTATAATTGATGCATGTTGTTATTGCTCAATTACAAGATGAGCAAACTTTTAATCTCATTCTCTGAAGACAAAGAAAAGGTTGGTTACTTTTCCCCAAAGGTCATAGAACAGCAGAGCAGGAAGGACGTCCACTGCCTGCCCACTCACTGAGTCTTGTCCTGCCACCTCCGGAGCTCCCTGAGCCGTCTGTCCAAGACACTTCTTAGAGATGAGGTTATTCACTCCATCCTCCCAGTAATTTGGAACATAATTCACATCCGGCACTCTGACTTCCAAGGCTCAGTCTAGTTCTAGCCTGCAGACTCGTCCATAGTTCTTACATGATAGTTTTTCACTTTTTTGGGGAGCAGGGGTTGATCATCAAAGAAAGTTTCATTGCTCTCCTGAACTCCCTTCTTGTTTTCACTCTTCCGTCTCCGGATGCTGTGTGTGACTCTTCTCGTACTTCCTGGTGCTTCTCTGGGGTGCAGGGTGCAGGGTGCCGGTGAGCTCCAGGTGCACCCTCCCGGGCTGCCTCTCCTCCTGGCAGCTGTGCGCATGTGCGCCTGTGTTGGCAGGTGGAGCGGCTGAGTAGCTGTGTGACCATTTCCTAGATCATTTCAAGCCATTAAAAGTGAGAAAGCTGCAGTTGTTACTCTCACATTTTGAATTGTTAAAATGAGTTGTAAACACATTAACAGCCGTATCCACAATGTCTTGCTTTCCCAAATTTTGAGAAATGTTAAATCGAATTCTTCTCTTTTTGCTGTTTGTTTTAATCTTTCCCTTTGGGGTTGGGAAACACAACGAAGAGGTTGTAACAGATAAGGTCCAACAAAGGTGGGTGGTTATTGTTTAGGAAAGGCCAGTGAGGACAAAGTTTGTTACCTAAGTTTAGAGTTTTCTTTTAGTAGGACCTAATTTCTATGATTTGCTACTTTTAAAATTTCTTTTTTATTTATTTAAATTTTTCTGGTACCAGGAATCAAACTCAGGACTTTGTGCTTGACAGGCAGGTGCGGGGCCACTGAGCTGCATCCCCAGCCCTACCTGCTGGTTTTTAAGCTAGGCAAACAACTGGTCGGGAATATATAGTTTAACATCAATATATGGTGAACTTTGCTTATTATAAATAATGTGCAAATTAAAGCAAATTTCTTATTTGCTAGAATTGGAAATTCACAATTTATATACTAATTTACATATTAAGAATTTGTATTTTAAAAATCTTGAAAAAGGCACTGAATGTGTTTTGTTCTTCCACAACAGATTAAAATTTAAAATTTTCTAAACCAGCAACCCACAGAAGTTCATGGGTTCGCCATGTGGGGGCGCCGTCGTGTCTGCACAGCTGTGCCCCTAGTGGGCTAACAGGCTGGGACCCATGCCTGTCATTTCAGTTTTAGCATGGTAAAGATTGTGTGTGGCTTCTTCCTCTGAGGTGAAAAGAGACTCTTGCATAAAATATAAAGGACAAAGCTGTTTGAAAATAGCGTATCATTAGAGAGGCAAAAAGATATTAGAAGCTTTGGCAGTTTCAAAGAAACTATTATCTAAGTCCAAGTTAGCTTGCATTAACCAGTCTTTAACTCTATAATATTTGACTATTTCTAGTCTGTTATTAATCAAAAAATCAAGTGATACAATGAAGATTCATTGGTGTAGAGCTGATCAACATTAGTTCTGTAGCAAAATTCTATTGAAGTAAGTTATCCTATATCCTGGAAGAGAAACTCATTTCCCTAGTAAAGCAATTGTCTTAGGAAGCTGTTTTTACTAATTAAGCCTGTTGAGAATTTTCACTGTAATAATTATGAACCTAAACATGTAGTTTTACCATAAAAGAGAAGCTAGGATATTGATATAATTAAAAGATCCTCTCCCCCTTCCCCTCCCCAAGTAATTCATTAGTAACAGTTGCTTTTGTTGCAGGCATCAGAATTCTGGCAGGAAAATCACTTGAGAAGCAGGTATCACCGTGTCTGCTCTGGAAGGATGAGGTCATTGTTTAGCACGGTGCAGTATCTCCCCAGTGATGGGTAACTTGGTGCACAGCGGCACCCAGTCACGCGTCACTCACCCATCTGCTCTGAAACACGCTGCTTAGCTGGTCAAGTTTGAGCCCGGGTGGTGTCCACTAATCACTTTATGTGGCCAGAGACACTGAGGACACTGACATACGAGTCTGGGCTGGTGTGACGCAGCATGTTGGTTTTGGGAAACTTGTTTAATAAGTAGGCGTACACGTGAACAGAAAAGAATGGCAAAGACACAGTCATTGTCCTCAGCAAGCATTGTGTGCTGTGCAGAATGGCAGTGCCGTGCTTTCATGTGACAGGCGGCATGGGGGGCTCGTACGCCTGCTCACCACAAATGCAGGAGTAATGCTTTGTGCTGTTCCTTCCCTCCTGCCATGATGGTGTCACAGGTGACGGAGTCTGATTCCATTGTAATTTTTTGGAACCCTGTGTTTCTCTTGACTCTGTTGCGATGCATCTCTACTGCTTTGCAACACTAAGCACAGCACTGTACTGCACCCCTAATGTTCAGAACAAGGAACCTTACTGACAGCCTCTGTGACTAAGAAGGGCAATTATGAGAAAGCACAATGACACTATTGTGACGGGAAAATTCTGATACACATACTTCAAATTTTGTAAGAACACATATCGCCGTTTGAGCAGTGGCCTCTCTGTCTTGGTGACTCCTTCCACAGCGTTTCTATAATCACATCCCCGCCCACAGTTCCTGAGCTCCCTTTCCTTTGCATCCTCTCCGCCGTTCTCCTCATCTTTTGTTATAAAGGTCGTTCTAACAAGTGGGCCATGATATCCGCTGTGGTTTTAACTGCATTTCCCTGGTGATGGGTGGTGCTGGGCTCTTCCCTGTACCTGTCAGCCGCTTGTGTGTCTTCTTTTGAGCAGAGTCCATTTTTAAATTGCTGTTGAACTGTTTGAGTTCCCTATATCATTTGGATACTAACCCCGTATCAAATATGTGGTTTGCAAGCATTTTCTCCCACCCTATGGGTTGTATCTTCGCCCTGCTCATTGTTTGTTGTTGTTTTTGCCGTTGTTGCTGCTGTGCTGAAGCTGTTCACTTTTGTTTAATTCCATTTGTCTATTTTTGCTTTTGCGCCTATGCTTTTCAGGTCATATCCAAATATATCATTCATTGCCCAGATCAGTGTCATGGGGCGCTGCCCTATGTTTTCTCCTAGTACTTTTAAGTCATTCAATCCATTACAAGTTATTTTTTGTATATTGTGGCTCTAACTTCCTTCTTCTCAATGTTGCTCTTGGGTTTCCTGATGCCATTTATTAAAGAAACTCTTCCTTCCCCATGTGAGTTCTTACTGCAAGGCTGTACGTGTGGCATCTAATCGCACCGATCGCACAGAAGTAGCGAGTAGGACATGACCATCAGTGACTTGGTGGAGGTGCTGGGAGGAGAGAATGAGGGCTTGTTGATCAAAGGAGGCAGAGTTTCAGAGGGGCAGGAGATGTGTTACACACCAAGGTGACTAGTCGATAACCATGTATTTTGTATTCCAAAACAAGCAAGTAAATTTCAAGTGTCTCAGCATAAAGATGATAGGTACCTGAGGTAACAGACATGTTAACGAGCTTGACTCCCATGCCGTGTTGCGCATATCTATTGAAATATGACATTTTACCTCATACCTATACAATTATGATTTCTCAATCTGAGATAATATTAATAACTTTACACTATGCTAATGTGTATTGAAACAACGTTTAAATTCTGGCATAAGAAAAATTTAGAAAATCATTTTAAGAACATAGCTAGACATGTGCTTTATCCTAAATACATGCTTAGGTTTACGAGAATTTTTTGGAAATTTTAAGTTGTGGAAGGATTCAGTTCTTTCCCAGCTAATTCAGTAACAACTCATAGGGTTTTTATGTTTTGCTAAGACTGTCATAAAATTCTCAAAACATTTTCAACAGATTTTAACTCACTTCAGTTTGACAATGTCAATAATAGTATTTAGGAAAAAGAGATTGTCATAAAAGCAAATGCTCTGTTGAGGGTCTCACACCAACATCATGGCTTTAAATGATACTGGATTGAGATATTTGGGATTGCAGAATTTTTAAATTATATTTAATTAAGTAGCTAAAACTTATGAAGTTAATTTTTAATGTATTCTGGGTCTAAATATTTACCAAGGCTTCTAGTACTGAACATTCAGGTAGTAAGAGAAACATATGTTCACTTTTGCTGGGCCTCCTGTAAGGGGAGCTGTGAAAGATGTTTTCAGGGCATCTACTCTCTGTGCTGAATTGAATGTATTGTAACTGCATTTTGTAAATCGTTTTAAATATCAAGAAATAGAATTTATAGGTAATGATTTTGAACACTGATGAATAAAACCAATTCTAAAACGCCATCCTCTCTAGTAATAGTAGTATAATGGCTCATTTAGTTCTAATATAGAGCTGGTATTAACAGTGTTAATTTTAAAATATTTTCTTTAAAGAAATAAGTGAGAACAACTCCTTTATTAGAATTTATTTAGGTAAAATTGTTTCTTTGGAGCATTCAGGGAGCTAGGCTCTGATCACTGTGGTAGGCCATAGGAATTAGAATAATATCATCAGTAAAATGCACCTTAGGCCTTTAGGAAACACAGAATCCTGTGCATATAAAAATCAGAAGGCAAGTGATCTCTTAAGAGACTATATAAATAATTTACTTTTGTTTAAAATGAATGAATGATACTATTAATATAAACACAAGTTTTTAAAACAGCAGAAGTAATTAGGAAATGCCATCTGATTTATGGAAATTCACTTTACAACTTAGTTTTATTATACAGAGGGACACAGTCTGTTGGGAAAGGAGAACTATGCAAGATGTTAAAAACAGAAAAGACCAAAAAAAAAAAACCCAAAAAACAGAAAAGACCAAGTAATCCTAAGTAAATACATTTTTATAAAGGAGACTGATGGAAGATTTTGAAAGAACTGAAAGCTAATATAGTATAGTACCCTTTAATTTATCTCAAAGCGTATTTTATTAGCTTACTATAACTGACAAAAAAGGCAGAGGCTGGATGGCTTAATTATAGAGATTTTATTTTCTTTTTCTCTTCTTAGACACCAGCCAGATTAGGGCCCACTTTAATGGTCTCGGGCTGGCATGCAACACGTAAGACTTTATCTTCATACATGGTTAGTTTCTGAGGTGCGAGGGCTTGGGCCTTGAGCATCTGAGTGTGGGAGGAGGGCAGTCCAGGCCGCCGCAAGTGGGCAGCGTGATGCACCGGAAGAGAACGAACCCTAGTGAATGTTCTCGATACACTAGGAATGTGGGTGAAGCACAACACGGAGAATGTCCCACCTTAGCGTCTGTGACCCTGGGAGTACAGGGTGCTGAGAAGCGTCTTTCCCGGATACACAGCTGAAAGAGAGCTGTAGTCGGTTCTCTTCTTATGAAGTTCTACTCTGAGACTGTACCAGTACCTTCTTGCAGACGTTGTGAAATCTGGGATACCAAGGCTATACTCTCAGGGATAATTTCTATAGTTGCTGAAATCTATGATACTGTCCCTCTTTTACAGTCCCCCAAATACAGATTTATCAGACCTAGAAACAAGAAAGACATTTTGAGTAGTAATAGCCCATTAACATAAATAAATATCAAATTTTTTAACTAGAAACATTAATTTCAGGAATAGAACATACATTATATATAATTTTAATACCAAAAAACATTATAAAATGTTTTGCGGAGCTTGGGATTGAACCCAGGACTTCATGTGTGCTAAGTGAATGCTGTCTCTACCGCTGAGCTCCACCCCAGACTGAACAGTGAGCTTCTTAAATGCATCAGGCCCCCTGAGTATTTTACAGCCCAAATGTCGATTTTATTAAAATGCCACATTAACTTTAAGTGGGGAGAGCCATGTAGGACCATACAAAACAGATTGAATTTTCAACACAAATATTAAAGGTTGGTTTTCCTGTAACTAAACACTGTGCTTTTAATTTTAATTACACCCAATGAAATTATTGAAGTGGTCAATAAGAAACCACTCTGAAGCATTCGAAGTGCGATTTTGTTTGGTGATTGTTATAGGTAGAGAAGAGATATAGGGCCTTCTCAGTAGGGTGAGGAGAGAGGCAAGTCCAACAGCTTGGTTACTTTAGAGCCCTGAGCATACAAAGTTGGTCCACACGAGTGCAACAGTAGTCGATGCAGTGGGACTCAGCTTGCCATTCCAGCCACGAAAAGCGCTGGACTGAGCACGGCCAAATACCTTTGAATAAAATAAAACCGTGAGCAGCGATTCACATCCGGACTTACGTTAAAATACGCATAAATGTGGTACACAGTATGTCTTATGCAAACCTGTGTGTGTGCAGGGTTGAGGAGAATTCAGAACCTCGGTAAATTTGGATTTCACTTTTATAGTCTTTTTAACATTTACCTTGTGGTACTGGCGTGATGTAAACCAGGTGATAACCCTTAGTCCCGAAAGTGGAAGTAATTATTCGTGCCGTGGCTGCTTTGTCTGGCTGGGTCTCTTATCTAGCACCTGCTGTTACTGTAGTTCGTGATGCTTGTGCGGGGCCTCTTCTGCCCAGAGGACTTGTTCCAAAGCTGGCGTTCAGTTTCTGTGGACAAAGTAATGAAATTTGAATATATTAAGAATATACATGCTTCTGTAGTTCTTATGGAAAGATAAAGTGTTAAGTACCTGACTGAAAAAGCATCTCAACTTCTACCTCTATAATACCTGATTTAAAAATTTTTCCTTGGACTCTTTAGCAAACCTGTGTTGTTTTGTAGGAGTGAGAGAAGCTCTGACAGAGTCAGGCCCCGCAGAGCCCTGAGCCAGGGAAGAGCGTCACTCTCCGGAAGCGAGGGAGAGTGCTGGCCGTGCTGTGCGTTTGCCTGTAGGTTTGTAATTCACTTTTAACACTGCCTGGCAAGTTGGCTAAAGATGTTTGAAAATAAAAATCTCTCTTAAATGCATTCCACCAGTCTATTCCCACACCAACGCAGCCTGAGAGTAGCCACGCTCCAGCAGTGAAATAGAAATCCCACCAGAGCAGGGAGGCTGTGCCGCTGGGGGCTCTGGGGTTCCTGAAAACTCTGGCGCCAAGCCTGATGAGGATGGGGGTGACAGCCTGAGTGAGCTGCCCAGAGATGCGGGGAGAAAAGAAAGAAATGCAGGAGGTTTGTTAGAAATGCGAGAACCAGGCTTTCCTCCTTGGGAAGTGATGCTAGGATTTGCTTCATGTCCAATGGGGAAGAAAATCCTCTATCTTTTTCTCATTTCTTTCTTCTCCTTCCTCCCTCCTCCACTATAGAACACCTGTTTCCAGAGTCAGAGCACAGGCTGAGAGTGTACAAAGCAATTTGAATACTTTCTGACTTGAGTGCTTGCCAGAGATAGCCTAGGAAATGAATCGCATTTTGATTTACCCAAGTTTTTGTGGAAAGTGTTTGCAGTGAACAACCAACATGTAAAAGAACTTTCACAATAAAAATCTGTGTGTGAGGGTGGGTGCACCTGGCTGCCTGTCTCTAGGCCCACCTGTGTTAGAGTCGCTTGCAATGATGTAGTTAGGGTACAGATTTCTATGTGTCTACATTAAGTCTGTGAAGCAGATCAACTTCCCATGTGAACCCGGCAAGCTAAGTACTGAGAAGTGCTTAGTTATATTCTGAGGCAGAAAACAGTTGATCATCTGCTTTTGAAATACACAGTCTTACTCTGTGTCGTGACTTATTTGGTTTCTACAAAAGTTTAGCAAGTCATGAGAAAGGATTATTAAATTATTTCTCATCTTGTATTTGGAAATCATATTAGTGCTTTTTATTGAAAGTTGAAAAAAAGATGTTTACTTTTGCCTGGCTTGAATTCTAGTTAACAGATTCTGAAATTAAAAAACAAAAACTCAAATATGACTGAGGCTTTGCTTCTTAGTATGGTGGCTTTATTAAAAGGAGATAAGTTGCCTGTTTCTCTGTAGCTATCTACCATGGGACATGTTGCCTGGGTCAGTTTGAGAGGAACAAACTTTTAAACTATCCACTCAATATAAATGTGGTAATGACAATAATAATAATAATGTCACTTATTGAATACTCACTGTGTACCGGGCATCCTGTCTAGAGCTTCGTGTTCACTATTAGATGAGAACCCTCACAGAATAATTCTCCCATTTACAGATGAAAACACCGAGGCCTAGAGAGGAAGGGTGCGGGCGGGGACCTACACCCAAACCCATGTGATTTCGGAGGCCGTACCATTGCCTCCGTCCCTGCTGTCTCTGGCCACACGGAGTGAGGCGGAAGATCTCCTATGCTCCCATAACAAGGCACACAGTGGTGAAAGACAGTGGAAAGCTCTCAAAGCTGAGGAGGAGTAGGGAAAGGTAGGCACTCTGGATCAAAGGAGAAACCAAGGACCGAGCAAGCCAATGATTCACCTAAAATCGCTCTCTGTTAGACTAGTTAGCCAAAGACACAGACACAGATGCTGTGTGGCTGGCGAGTCGAGGACAGGATCCAGCTGTCAGGCCATGTCTCCCAGGCCAGGCCCATCTTGCTCTCCTGGAGATCCAAGGTCTGTCCAGCCACCCAGCTGGCAGAGGAAACATGAAAAATGAGTTTAAAACATTTAAATCTAGCCGAATGTATTTTTTATGGATGTGTAGATGAAGTCAAACAATAATACAGCCCCACAGTTCTGCGCCCACCTGCACCTCTTCATCCCGGGGTGAGGAAGGCAGGGCCGTCAGTCAGAGTGGCTCTGCAGGGGCTTGGGTGCATTCAGAGCCACTCCCAGGCAGCGACCGCTGAGCAGTCACCGAATTATGGTGCTGTTGTGATTTTCTGGCCAGAGCTGTGGTATATTTCATGAGACCTTGGAAAATATGTCTGGGGGAACTGGCTGGCATTTTCGTAATCTTCACACCGAAAAGTGAGAAGTAAGAAGAAAAGGTCGGTTTAAAATTGCAGTGTACTTTCTGTGGAGGCTGCCAGTATGACATAACAGGAAAAGTCCAATCCACAGAGGTGCTCAGTGATTTTTTTTTAAGTAAATAACAGAACGTGGATACCACAGGGGAAAGTCCCAAGATAAAGAAACAAAAAGACCTGAAGTTTGAACATGAAGAAGCAAATAACTGAGAGAGAAAATGGAGAGCTGGAGAGATGAGGTTTGGAACTGAGATATCAGGGATCTTTTTCAACATAAACAGATCTTAGGCTAAGAAAATATAGGAGAAAGAGGCCATGTGAAAGAGCAACTTGTAAATAGACTTGGAATTCCACAAACTTGGTAAAGGAAGCCATCCAGGGAAGAAAAGAGAGTCTGAGAAGAAAAATAAATTATGTGATTTTCCGATTTAATACCATCAAGAAGATGAGATGCTTTCTTTGAAATGGGTCATAAAACTATTACAGAAGCGACATGGAGCCAGTAGAAAGCTTTAAATATCTGAACATTGGCCCAAGGCCTTTTGGGAATAATTAGTCTAAGGTCCCCAACATCTGCATTGAACAGCAAAGAAAGACTGGCAGGGAAGATCAAGCACGACGAGAAATCCTGAGAAGGAAGCTATTTCTTCCTAGAGTTCAAAATGGTCAAGACATAGCAGGCAGAGTTAGTTTCTTCCAGTTCTGTGATTTGTATTTGCACATTTCTCCTAACACTTAGCACATGGCCATGTCTGCTTGCTGGCCCTGCTGTCTGCACTAATAACAGCAGCAGACTTGCCGCGCTCTGGTCTCCGGACCTGGGATGCACACTGCGGGCACAGGGAGGCCCGTGGCTGCTCCAGACGAGGGTGGAGGGACGAGGGTGAAGGCTGCTCACCATCCTCACATACTGGGTAACTCTATTTTTACTGACTTTGTTTTCCCAGCTGGAATGTAAACTCGGCTTGGACAGCGGTCTTTGTTTTGTATATTAACGTACCAGGCACTTAACATAGTAGATGCCTCAAATTTTTCTTAAATAAATGAAATACCTGAGAGACTCTTACAGAAGGAAACTAAACTCCTTGCGTGTATATCTGAAAGGCACAAGCGGGCAATTGCTGAAGTTACAATTAATACAGACTTGGACTCAACGATCAGACACAAGCCGAGTAGGAAAAACTTAAATGTGCAATTCTGACACAATAAAAATGGAATTGATTCTAATTTTTTAAAGGGAGGGGAAAGGATAAATGAAAAACCCTTTTAAGCAGAGCAGGGAGCTTCTGATTACTATTTATTTTTAAACGCTGAAGAGAGAAAGAAATAGATGGACATACAATGAAAGGTACAGGTTAGTTATGGGGGGACAGGAAGACAGCTGTTAAGTACAGCTGCAGAAAGACCTACAGGATTTTAGTACAGATAAAGGCACCACAATGGAGAGGCTACACCGAAAACAGAAGGCTGTGAAACAAAATTGACAGCTATGTTTCATATTCTTCGAGTTTTTCCTGCCGAAGAAGAGCTCTGTAAAACTATGCAGGGCACAATAAAAACAGGTGTGAGAAATTTATAGTGGCGGTGTTTTTGATATCATATGAAGACTATTTCCTAATTAAATCTGCAATTCTCCATCACTGAAAGTTCTAGAAGGGTTCCCAGATAGAAATAGTGCACTGCACAGAAACTAAATTGTATCTGTTACACTCTTCTGTAACTTGCAGTTTCATTGGGTTCTACAGTTAGAGATTGTTCTCAGAGGGGGGGAGGATAAAATGGATTCTTTGAAAGGGTATTTATGCGGAGGGTTTATTACTTTCCCAATCACCACAAACACATACCTTTTTTTTCCCAAATGTCACTACAGTCCATTTGGCAATGCTGTGGATCTATATAAAGTTCAGAGTGCTCACTCGGTCCCTGGACCTCAGGGTCACTGTGTGGGATCTGATGTCACCCCCATGTGTGCCTCAGCACACCTGCGCTTTGCCCATTTCTTTTTCCACTCTGGGCTCCATTCCTCTCACTGAAACTGACCGTTCAAGGACAGTGTTCCAGGGACAAGCTGAAGCAATATTTCCTAATATTTCACATAACATGTAGGACTTCTGTTCAATTATGTAGGGACAAATGCATCTCTGCGCAGATGTTCTTTAGCCGGGGAGGAAATTGACTGCAATCTCTTGCCTGCCGAAATAAAATTGCTGTTAGTCTTAAAGCTTAAGAAATCTGTCCTCTGGATGTTTGCCATTTTGGTACTTACAAAGAAGTAGTAAATTTAGGATAATTCAAAACAAGACACACTGCAAAAATCCTATTTTATTTTATTCCATTAGCTCAACACAATTTCACGTCTCTCATGTTACGCACTGGGTAGGAAGAAAAGTGTGGAGTGAATAAAATAGCTTTATTGTTCTATAATAGTTATAGTTGCATAGGGGCAGGAGGAGAATAAAATATAAATAAATGCGTTTGTCAATATCCTTTTAGAATAATATTGAAGAAAAAGAACGGGATGCCACTGGAGAGAATAATAAAAGCAGCCTCCCACTTGAGACTGGAGCGCCAGAGATGCCTTCTGGGCTAGTCCTAAGGGACCAGAAAGCCCTTGGCCAGAGGCCCTGAGGCAGCACCAGGTTGGCCTGTTCCAGGCACACGCCGGGTGGGCTCACCCTGGGGACCCATGGGAAATGTGGCCAGCGGGGCATCTGGAGAGCAGCACGGGCCCCGGTCCTGCTCCGCACGCTGCTTTATTGTCACTGCAGGAAGAGGATGTGGGAGAGGCTGGGGAGGGCAGCCATGCGGCTGAAGTACAGACTTTTCAGAGGAGCCCCACTGAGGAGTGTCTTGGAGGCAAGAGTGACAGTGTCTGGGAAAAGGCTTGGGAGAAATGGGTGGTGATGAGGTCTGTTTTAGAAGTGGAACCATCCGAATTTGGTGATGACTGGGTGGTGGGGTATACAGCAGAGGGAGGGTGAGGAAGGAGAGAGAGTCCAGAGTTGTGCTCTAAGGAACTGTGCTGCTGCTGTCAAATATTAGAGAAGCAGATTGTCCTTTCTTTGCGAAAGAAGTCAGGAGAGTAGAGGAGAGCTGTGAGAGTCTCGGTGTGGGGGACGTCGTCATCGCTGGGGCTCAGGAGCGAGCTCTGGGAGCTGATCCCGTGGTTGGAGCAGTCTGGGTTACCAGTGAGGGTGCAGAAGCAAGGCATTTTGAAAAGACAGCAGAGAGGTCGGAGGTGAGCCAGGATGTGAGGAGCAGAGGCTTTCAGACGGGAGTGGCCACCTCCACAGATGGCCCACAGCCAGCGAGATGGAGACCGGGAATCTTTGTGGATGCAACAGTGGCCATCACTTTAGGTCTTAAGAGCAGTTTTGTTTTTAATTTTTAGTTTCTTGGATTTATTCTTTTCTGAGTCCGTTTGTACCTCTGTACCTCATGCTTTTTTTGTGATAACCAGAGTAATATGCTTCTAGACTGCCTCTCTAGTTCCCCTTTTCTGTTGAATACTGTGCTTCTCCAAAGTTGTGTCAGAATGTGATCATCCTACAATCTGTAAAGTTACTGTCCTGTGATCTTAAAAGTGTGGCATTATCATGGTCAAAACAAGAATGCTTGAGCTGTTTTATTTTGCTTTGATGCTGGCATCTTCCCCCAACCCCCAGTAACAGGAATCGAACTCAGGACCTTGTGCTTGCAAGTGATTCTGGTATCTTAAATGCTTTTGAGCTCCACATACAGAGTTCCAAATACATGCTGGTTCATTGTCTCTTTATTTTTAATTACATAGAATTACTTGATCTGTTTTTTTAGCTTTTCTGTTTTTATCAATTCAAATAATAATTGATGATTGATTGAAAGTTATAGATTTAACCAATGTCAGTTAATTAGTAAGTGTCTAATTCTGCTGCTTAGTACTCTGCTTGAGCATGGTGGTATTCCATAAGTATTTAATATTGTCTGATATGAAAATGGCCAATAATTTCTATCAAATTATAATTAATTGTCTATGTGCAACACTTTCAGGTGATTGCTTTTGAATGAGTCTGTATTCATTCACATTCACATATATTTTTATAAAAAATTTGTTCTATATGCAGACATGTAGCACATTTTTAAATTCACAATTTAACCATCTAGACTTCACCTATTTTCCCACTGATGGGTCTGTAGTTTTTTATCTTTATACTTCAGCACATGTGAAATGGAGACTAGTGCTTACCGACTTGTAGCTGTTTTTAGAGATGACTATATTGATTTCTAAAAAATACTTGAAGAAACCAGGTAAAACATAATTATCATTTAGACAAGTCATGTTACCTAAAACCTTTAAAATTAAACCATAGGATATGGTGTGTAGGAACCAGAAAAATGTTTATAGACATTCTTATGTTAAACACTACTGTTGATTTGACTGTCAACCACTGTTTCATTACTGTGGTTTTCAGTTTTGTGTATGCATGTGGTCATCCTCAGTATCCACAGGAGATTGGACGGAGTATGCCCCCCACCATAGTGCAGCCTTCACAGGCTCAAGTTTCTGTATAAAACAGCATAGTATTTGCACACAACCCACACATATGTTCTCGTATACTTGAAATTATCTGTAGGTTACTGTAGGAATTCTTTATAGATAGTTGTTAGGGGACAATGACAAGAAAAATAATCTATATATGTTCAATACAGACAAAAAATTTTCCTGAATATTTTTAATCTGTGGTTAGTTGAATCCACAAGTACAGAATCATGAATACAGGCAACTCTGTATATGTGTGTGCATGTACATGTGTGTTTACATATGTACACAGAACATACATTATAATAGTTGAGATCATTATAGAAATGCATATATTTTTATAAGATTCTCATGGGGTTACTTAGATTCTAGAGTTATTTTGTATTCTTCTTGATGGACTCCACTATGGAAAAAATAGTCTTCTCATCCATGAAAATGTATTTTAATTTTACTTTTTTTTTTGGTACTGGGGCTCAAACTTGGGTCCTTGCACTTGTGAGGCAGGCACTGGAACCACTGAGCTAAATCCCCGGCCCTTTGAAAATGTATTTTAAAATGAATGTTTTAACATGTGAACATTTTGAAGAGGAACTTAAATTGTAGGAGTATATTTCTTTCCTATCACTCATGTCCAAAGTTCAGTGACATAGAGGCCTGTGTAAGGGATGTGATGACTTAGTCAGTCCCACATAGTAACAGGAGTGGGGTAATTACCACAGTGAGATTGAGAGTAAACGCAGGAGGCAGGTGTGGACAGAGGAGGGACCCATTCTAAGTAGTGCAGCCCAATTTTGCATGGATTGGGGCCCACTGCCCTTAGGGTGCTCAGGGTGCCCCGCTCATGCTCTCTTTACTTCAGCCTGACTGGTCCTAGGACAAGCACCTTCTACGTAGCTATAAAAGGCATAAAGCTAATGCTTGGTCAGATATTCTTAACTTCAAATGAACATTTGTAATAAACACACTTAGAAATAGCACAACTGATCCTTCATGCACTATTTTTTTAAACTGCAATTACCTTGAGTTATGACAATATGTGTAATAACTACATTTTAAAAAATATTGTCCTTAGGCTGGGAGGTAGCTCAGTAGTAGAATTCTTACCCACCATGCTCAGTGCCCTGAGTTCAGTCTCCAATGTGAGGGGCGGAGAAGAAGAAACACTATCTCAAAAAGTGTTTTCCAACGTCTAAATAGGTAAAATATAAGATTTTTTGAGATGCAGATGTATTTTTATCTCATCCAGGCAACCTATAAAGCGCTGCCCTTGTGATGTGAAATATAGTACTATTTGAAATGAAATTGATAGCTAATAATAGGCTATCACAACACATGAATTTTCCCTAGATGTTAGGTTAATGTCAGGTATCGTTAAAAATAAATCATAAATAACAGAAAAAAGCTCATTTTTTTCTGTCCTAATTCTGAGAAAGTGTGGCTAGATGATAAGTTAACATTTTTAGAGAAAAGCTTTTATATATGAATGATTACTCCAGTTTATTTTGACAAGTCCGTTCCTATAAGTAACTTTTTTTGCAGTACTGGGGTTGAACCTGGGCCACTGTACTGAGCCTCAAGAAGCCACTTTTATTTTTTGAGACAAGGTCTTGCTGAGTCCCTATGTTGTCCAGGCGAGATAAGCTTATCTTGTTTTCTTGTATCTGTAATTTTAAAGTTTTTAGTTTATTAGTCCACATTAATAGTGCATAATGTTTGCATTCGTCATGGGAGTTGGCGCATGGATGTAACACAGCGTAATTCATTTTTCATCCCTTTCCTCTTCCCCCTGCCCTGTCCACCCATGCTGCATTGCTGCCCTTCCCTTTTCTAAAATTTGGTCCATGTTTGCAGTCGCGATGTTCACACCCCTGTGTGGAGCTGGAACAGGTACAGAGCACATCCCGGTCCTCCCATCCTTTATCCCTTCCTTTCCCTACATGTCTCAGGCCTCTCCTCCCTTGAGAACCATCTGTCTCTCTACTTCCTATTACCTATCTTTTATTTTGCTCTTTAATTTTACTCCAAGTTTCTTATGTATGAGAAACAATGAGATATTTAAGCTTGTGTGTCTGAAGGATAGACTTGAGTCACTTGTGGGAAAATGGGTGCATCTTGGGACCGCAATGTTAAGTGAGAGAAAGCCCATCTTTTAAACGATTAACCCTCCAAAAGTTTGTGTCTCCCTAACATCAAAAACAAAACCGATAACTGGAATTATTGAGAGTCATTAGGTGATAATCACAATCTGTGCCACTCAATCCCAAAGTGAAATCACTTTTCCAGAGAAGCACATTCTTCTTTGATGAAAACTTTACCACAAACACACACACCTACCTTAGGGAAGAAAACCATAATTTCTTCACCCCAGAGAACAGTATACTCTTTCCCTGATATCAGCATGTCTCACTAATAAATAGTGTAAAGGGGCCTGTGTACTGCTTTGGTGAGTCAGTGCCATGGGGGACTGAGCAGAACTCAGAAGTTGGCTGAAAAATATCCAGTGGCCTGAAGAAGGTAGCACACTCTCCTTGTGAGAGGTGGTTTTCCCTGTGCTGTCCAGACCCTGTTCATCTGAGAAGGGCTTGAGCATGGGGATGTAGGAGCTTCCCTTCTTACAGGCGTCCCTTTTACCTAGAAAATCTTTAACTCAGTTCTGCCTAATCTGTAAATTCCTCTTTATCCTTCAAGCATCAGGGTCTAAGAAACTTGCTCAGAAAGTTTTCTACATTTTCTGCCACCCCCAAACTCCAGTCTACATTAAATCCCCACTCTGATTACACTTTGCAGTTTTCCTTGATGGTACTTAGGAATAATGGCTCAATTTTTGTGTGGTTATTTCTTAATGTTTGTCTGCTCATTACATTGTTTACTTTGTGAAAAAAAAAATCCCATTGGTTCATCACTTTATTCTCAGGCTAAAGACAATACCTGGGAAGTTATGGATTTAATAATAGCTATTAATAATAATCACATTTGTTGAACAGATAGAAAGGTGTGTGGATGGATGGGTGGACAGACAGATGGACAAACTCTTGCATGAATGAGGCACAGCAAAGTAGAAGGGCTTTTTGTTTGCTAACTTGGGCTATAGGTCACAATCATGGAGCAGAGCCTTCTAGGCTTGTTGTGTAGTGTGGAAAGGAGTCTCGGATGGGAGCACTGTTCCTCTAGCAAGCTGAGCTGCCGAGCAGAGGGATCCAGATAGAAAGCGCTGGTCGAGGAGAAGCCTCAGCATAACCTAGCTGGAAGCGTACTGACTTTCCCCTCTGTAGTTGCTTGTTGCTTCTGGAGTTTCTGCATTATACCACAGACCTACTCTCACTGTGACTATTTTCCCTGGATAATAGTCCTCTGTTGCGTTAGACCTGACATTCCCACCTTATTGTCCAAGTATGAATGACACAGATTGCATGGAATCTGTCTGAATTGAACTTCAGGAGGAAACATGTTTAAGCTATGTTGTTCTTTTCTGCTGGGAAGTTTTCTGTCAACAGGACTGACAAGTGGTTCTTGAAAGACATCTCTAGCACAGAGCTCCCTGAGTGGAGTCAGCAAAGGAGGAGGTGCTTAGTTGGCTCCCTAAGTTGGTGCTTTGTACACACTTTCCACTATTTACTAGGTGTCCTGAGCTAGGAATAGAAGCCCACAGGCAGCAGTTCACTGAGACCCCACCTCGCTGACGTTTCTGTGTAAAGCTTTGACAGCCCTCATTCCTCACCGCTGTGAGTCTGTAATAGCTGTCTGTAATAGCTTCGGATGACTTTGTTACAAGCCTGTGTCTTGTGTGTAATGAAGAATAATGAAAGCATCTGCAAGTTAAGTAAAATATCTTTGAAAAGGATTCAGTTGTCATTTCTGTGTCAGCATGGTTTCAAGCAATGTGGACGACTTGTAACCACTTATATCCAGCTAGCACATGACTGAGTTGAATAGAACAGTGATCAAAAGTCTTTACCGCTGTGTATGTTGAAGTTAATACACGAAGTTTAGCCATTAAAGAAAAAGAAAGTACAAGTAGGAACTAGATCACACAGTGGCCTAAGGAATCAATGAATAATGCAAAATTAAATGCACGTGCTTTTTACAGGTATTGCATGATGTTCACATTAGTATGACTTAGGAAAATATTTAAATTTCGCTGTGTGTTGGTCCAGAATATTACACTCCAGTATCTCAGGGCACTGTTGATTTCCTAGTGAGGTTGCTAGGTCATGCTTATCCAGAATCCAGAGGAATAACTAGAATTTTTTTCTTTACTCTGAGACATCTGAGGGAGTGCTAACGTTACCATACAGACTTTGGTAACTGGATCACGGCAATACATACTGGCTTCACCCATGTTTCCTGGCTCCTTGCTCCCTCCACGAGGCCACAGAAACTAAAATTTCTCACTAAAATTTCTCTTCCTCAAAGCAGGTCATGAAAACTGATCTTCCCCGCCTTGGAGCTGGCCGTGCAGTTTCTGACTTGTCTGATAGTAGATGGCAAGGCCTCCTCAGCAGGGTCCTGCCCCACACCTGTGAGGAAAGACCGCACAGTCTGCACACACAGGCCCTGCTGCTTCCCCGCTACCCCAACAGCACAGGGTTTGTCCGACACGCTTGACACCCTTGTCCATGCTTCCTCTGCACCTGTGGGGTGAAGTTGCCATAGAAACCCAAAGGGATGGAGTTTGGGTAGCTTCTGGACAGTGGGCACATGGAAGTTCCCGGAGGGTGGGGCCAGGACCTGACACAGAGGTGTGGAGCCCCTTCTCTACCTCTGCTCTGTGTCTCCATCTCTGTCTCTATCCTTTGTAAAAAGTGGTAAGCGCATTGCCCCAGGCTTTAGGAACCTCTCAAGCAATTAGCTAAACCTTAACAGGAGTTGTAGGAACCCGCATTTCCAGCCAGTTGGACACAGGAAGACAGTCTACGGCTTGCGATTGGCCTCTGAAGTGGGGCAGCAGGTTGGGGCCTGGGCACCCCTGGCCTCTGGCCCATCTCCGGAGTGTAAGGAGCACCTGGCCGTAGGCCACCCTGCAGGTCTGCTGCTGCAGAACTGCGTGCTGGCTTGCCGAGAAGTCCCACACATCTGGGGACCAAGAAATGACTTTGTGGATGTACAGCGGATGAAACACTTGGGTTTGGGTTGGTGTTTTATTCTGCACCCACAGAGTGACAGAGCAGAAGACTGGCTGGGATACTGCGTTTCTCAGGCTTGAAATCATCCTCGCTGTACCCCATCTAGGATGGCAGAAAGAAGTTCTCCTGAGAAGCTCAAGCCCCTTACCCATTTCTCCAAGCCTGCTGGTCAAACTCATGTTTCACCTACATCTTACAGATCATTAAAGGCGTCTAGGGCAGGTGCTCAGTCCATGAATGACTAAGGAAGCAAAGGACACGGGAAGGTCACCATGTGTCAGAAAGGGAACTGTCTGAGTGACGTAATGGTATCTCACACTCCTCTCTTCTTCCCAGGCCCTAAGTAAGTTTCCTTAAATGACACTCTTTCTATTCAATCTGTAGTTCTTTAACTTATCATCGATCAGTGGAATACATGTTTTCTTTTTAAATGAATCTTTGTTTTTCTTTTTAAATGATATTTCATATGACTTTTAAAATTTGTGTAGATGGTATATGTAGTGATACCATTTTGCTAGTGTTAGAATATTTATACAAAACATTTGGTTCCCGGTTTCCCTTCTTAATAACCTGCATGGGCTTGGGCAAGAGACATCCGTGACTTACCTCGGTTTCCTCATCTGTGTCGTGTCAGTGGTACCGTCTCTCTGCTGAGGTTGTGCATTCACGGAGTGAGTTTATGTGCTGACATGAGACATTGTTTAGAACGAGCCTGGTGTTCAGGAAGCAGGATGTGTGGGGACGTCTGGTTTCTGTCTGCTTTGTTCACTTCTGTATCCTCCGTGGCTAGAGTGAGATACGTGGTAAGGACCCAAAATTACTAAACAAATACGCGTCAGCTTTCCTGTTTTTAAATGAGAATGAGTTACTGCCTTATAGTGTTTATATTAAATGAGGCAATTTATATGGAAACAAAGGTAGCTATTTTCATCATAAATATTATGCCTAAAGGGCCATAATTCAGATTACTGAGTAAACATATTTGCTCTCCCTCTGTTACATGATTGTACTGCTTTTGTGACTCATTAGTTGTCTTTAGGGGTTTTCCCATTTCTCAGTCAGATCTTATCAGCATTTAGCCTAATCAATAACTTATTGGCTTACCTCCATGGGCATGTTCTTTTAAGAGGCAAATATTATCACAAATCTCATTTCAGAAGCAGTGAAAACACTGGTCATGTCATTCTATTTTGTCTTCTCGCACTCTTAAGTATCTTTTGGCCTCTTCTACTTTTGTGAAAGTTTTGGGTTAACCAGTTGTGACAGAGCAACATCTGTTCCTCACTTTCAAAATCTGCTGAGTTATACATTTGAAAACAGAAATCACAAAAGTTCACGTTTATTTGTACCATACTGATGTAAATCTAGGTATGAGGGGAAATGTTATATCTTTTGGGTTTCATATACTGGTCGTGTGAATATGCAGCATTGATATGACTATAAGGAAGGCAGATATGGATTTAACATTGTATAGAATCAGCATTGTGATTTTAAAGACGGATTGCCAGTATTCATTGCAGACCAAATAACTGACTGTATTGGGACCACGTCACTCATCTGTGTTTGATGTGCGTATGGAAAGCATCAGCAGTGGTGTGCAGGCCACCGTCTGAAGTCGGACCTTCTCAGTGTGAACCCTGTCCTGCCAGGCAGGTCATTAATATTCTTGAGTCTTCTTGGACTCATCTGTAAAGGACAAAAACTTGGGATTGATATGAGAATCAAGTGGCATAAATATCATATGTTTTATAAACTCTAAATCTATAAAATGTGCTTTTGTATGTTCATCAAATATGCAGATAAAATCCGATGATCATTTATGCAAGTTGTATCTGTTTATCTTTTCTTGAAAAAGGTGATTTTCATATTTTTCTGACAATCTTTTCAAGGTATTATTTTACCTCTAGAAGCAATTCCTTGTATATATTTGTGACTCTGTAATGATATTTGGATGAATAAGAAAATTGTATACAAGTTGCAGTACTAGATTATAATTGTTGTGGAATTATACTTTAGGTACAGAAGCAATGCCCGTGTAGAAATGGGGGTGTCTGGGCCAACGTGCTTCCCTCTTGTTGGTGCAGCCGGATCAGTACCAGAGAGGGAGCAGGCGCAGTCTCTGACAGGAAGGTGAATAATAAGGAAATTGGACTAAGAGTTCTAGGAATGTTACTGAAAAAGGACAGTGCCTACCCAGAAAACAGAAGCAAGAACGCTGGGTGACCCTAAGTCTAAACAGCCAAAAGTTACAGTTACAACTTACTTGAGCTGAAAGTCTTCTCATTTTTAGAAAGGCCGGGGAGGGTTGTGTGTATTTTACACCTCCAAGCCGCGGTGTCCAATGGCCAAGCCTTTAACATCCGGAAGGCCTGTGTCTGCCCTGCGTGAGGCTGCTGCAGCCTGCACGCCTCTGTGTGACGCAGCACGGCTTTTCATTTGCCCTGGCCCCCTGATCGGAGCGCCCTGTTGTGTTCTGCACAGTGTGCTGCCCCCCGGCCCAGCAGAGAGTACCACAAGCACGGGATTCTTAGCCACTTTGGTCACTGTTGTGTCAGAAGCGTCCACAGAAGTGCCCGGCAGGTGCCAGGAGCTCAGCTGATAACTGAATGAGGGTCTGAGCCCGCCACTGTGCTGCGGGAAGTGTTTTCCACACACACTGCCCGGGAAGTGTTTACTGAGTGGGAGAACCACTGTAGACGCCTAATGGGCATTTTACTGCGCGCCTTTGAACCCCCCTTACACACAGCAGCGGTCACGCAATGACCCCGGGTGGCTCCCTTGTCTCCCACCCTCCTGCCCCAGCAGAATGGCTCTGAGAAGCTGCATGAGTGTCCGACACTGGCAGAAGACGTGGGCAGTCGTGGCTCTGTGACGGTGCGGCTCAGTCACTTGCCTTCCGGGACAGAGACCGGCGTGCTCACGGCACTGAGTGACTTTGCTCCGCACTGCCTGCCCCTCCGGTTTAGACTGGAACACTGCCTGTTACTCAGACGTGAAGCCTTACAGAGCCTGTTATCATTTTTAGTAACACTGCGTTGCAAATTAGTTCTTTTAGAGGAAGAAAACATTAAAAATTCCTGAAATTGGGACCGAGTCAATAGGCACCATTGTGCGTTATTGTTTCTGCTTTTGGAGTTGCTTCTTTCATGGCTCGTGGGGGATTTTTAAACACTTGTTTTCCTTTCTGTTGACCTTTTACGTCTTGTGAAGAAAGCAGGCAAGCTTTCACTGTACGCTTTCGGGACCCAGTGAGAACGGGCGCGTCAGGACTCACAGGCTGGTGGTGCAGGGCTGGGTGCCGAGCGGAGGGCGGGGCGGGCGGCCGGACTGCTGTTCCCTC